TCCAGAATGGAATGTGTTCCTTTCGTTCCTTTAAGTCCCCCCCCCCCACAGGGTACCCAGGAAAACGACAAACGAACCCACACACACATGCACGGCGTTACGCCTTGATCGATTCCCCACCACCGAACTGAGTGGCACCCAGACAATCCCCCCGTCGCTAGGCTGGTGAAAGAATCCCGGGCGGCGCCGGAACGGGACTCGGCGGGGTGAATTGCTACTTGGCCTGTTAGGTGAGATTTCCGCCTTCAACTTCTGAAAATGTGCGTTTTCCACGAACAAAACAAGAAGCTCTCAGCATTGTCAAGCTGTCCAATCACTTGATCGGCCATGCCCGCCCGCACTTTGTGGACGGGCTTGAGTAGAATCGCAGGTTCTTAGCCCCATTTTGCCTTCTTGGATGTTCAGCGCTGGTTATTGCCGTGTTCGAGAGGGGTTCGTCCGCTGACCCCCCTCTTCGCTTGAAGATCCCCCTGAATTCTTACCCACCGGGCTGAGGTGTCGACGCTCACAGAGTTGAACCGAGCCAGGCCGGTTGGTCCTAAAACAACCCCAGTGGCACTTGGAGCCATGGTTGTGAGAAATGGGCGGCTCCCAGCCATCCGGTTCCTTAGCTTTTTAGCCGTTTAGTGTTTAGTGCTAGTTTCCATTTACTCCACTAAAAGTTATTCACTTTTAGTGGGGGATCTGGCCCAGGTTTCAGGTGTTTGTTTCTGTTATGCCAAAGGTTCGACCCTTTCAAAGTGATACAGTAGTCTTGGGAATGACCCACGGAGCCGTGGCAGAGCCACAGTTGACGGGATGTTTTCTGCAGGTCCTTTGAGTGCAGAATTGTGCAAGCCGCAAGATTGGCATTAGAATGCAACATGTTGAAGCTGGTCCGCAGACAACATGGACAGCGTGTCCATGTGTCATGTTTAAACACAGCTTTCTGCTGAAGATGCACATGTTGAATGTGGCAGGCGCAGACAGTAGCCGAGGAAGGCAGGGGCAGAGATGAGCGATGAAGTGTGGCCAGGTTTGTCTGTGCCTGATGTTGAGTCCATGCTTGTCACCACTTCATTCGGTATGTCACTTTAGTTGCTCATTTCGATGTTTTGCATCAGGACTCAGCCATCATTGAGTTGCTGAGATCAGATCAACAAGCTTTGCCAGCGAGCACGTTTGGCTTCAGTCTTGTTTAACACGAAAAGTGCGCTCTGCTTGAACGCACTGCTTCCACACACCCTGCAATCACGGGCATTTCAGAATCAAGCCTCGCTGTATTGAAGAAATGCCTGTCCGAGGTGCTGACAGAGTCGACTCTAAGCCGAGCCAACAGGCAGGCGGCTGATGTGTTTTGTTGTTGTTTCCTTTGAGTGCTGCCTTGCTGAGCCTTGCTGGTATGACCAACGCCCTCTAAGTTTGGCTGTTCGGCTGTGGGCAGGTGTGGCCTCAAAACGCATATATAATTCTTAAACTGGCACACAGGCAACAAGTCCTGCGTTGTTCTTTGAACACAGTTTTCGTTTGGCAGCGGTTGTTGGAAATGTACATGTTGAGTTTGCAGGTGCAGACAGCTGCCGAGCAAGGCAGGGCAGATGAGCATGACGCAGTATGAATGGAGTTGTTTGTTGCTTCTCAAACCGAATCCATACTTACCATCATTTAATATCAGGAGCATGTAGCTGTCCGTGCCGGTACATAGCTTGAAATTGTAGTTGTTCAATTGAATGGTATTTGCTAGGCCTCGGCCATTATTGCATTGAGTTGCAAAGACAAACTCAGATCGCCACGAATCCCATGCTAGCTCGTTCGGCCTCGACGTTGAGACATGAAATTGGTGGTCAGTACCACATGACACAATAAACCCTGCCAAACAGCTGCATCGCCAAGATTCTCAAGATGGTGTCGTTGCAGGCAGTTTTGAGCTCGGTGCCTTGAACGAATGCACGGTGACGAGGTGACAGAGTCGACTCAGAGCCGACCCAACAGGCTGGGGGCAGCTGATTTTGTTTGCGATTCCTTGCGCTGTGCGAGCTTTTCTGGTAAAGTTGGACCTACTTTAATTGCCAGAGCCCTGCACAGAGGGTTGGACTTTGGCTTACAAATGTCAGACTTAGTATTGCTACATTTAGTATTGCCAAGACTACATCTCAGATTCCAGGACTTAGTTGAGTATTGCCAATGCTAAATTTAGTCTTGCCAAGACTTAATCTCAGATTCTTAGTACATAATCTTATATTGCCAACACTTAACTATGTTTTAAGAGTTAGTATTGGCATTTCTTAGTTTAGTATTCACCGCAATCTCGGAATCCCAGAGTTTTTTAATTGTGGAATATTGTGGATTGCCTTTAGCCTTTGAGCTGGGAAGGGCTTACATGAACCACCCTTTGAACCAAGTAAAGGCTAAGCTTTGATTGCGGAATCTCCCCGTCCGCAAAACAAACTTGCCAGTACAGATGACCTCAAAAGAGTTAGATTCAAGAGGATCAGGGGCTAATTTACCCCTCACCCAAAACAAGCTTTGCCATTAAAGAGGGCCCCAAAACAGTCAGATTTTGTGGATCTGACAGTTTGGCCCTCTTTTTGTTGTCTTTGGTTTAAAAGCAAGGATTCCTGGGCCACTTTATAAGCAGGAATTCCTAGATCTAAGGCCTTTCGCCTATGAGCTAGGAAGGGCTTAGGTAAACCACCCTTTAGTAAACCACCCTTCAAACTTGAAAGGCAAAGCGAAGGTTTGTTTTGCCCAGACGTTCTCTCGGGAAAGGCACGCAAACACCGGGGCCCCGGTGTTCTTTGGCAGGTGCAGACAGCAGCCGAGGAAGGCAGGGCAGAGATCAGCGTGGTGTAGTGCGGCCAGATCTTTGCTACTCAAATTGATTCCACGCTTGATACACTTGGATCCGGTGAGCATGTGGCCCATGTTGGTGTCGTTCGCGTAATATGAATTGTGTTGGTCAGAGGAGAATTCACGTTAGGACTTCAACCCTTGCTGCATTGAGTCGCAACCATAGGCTGGCATCACACGAATCGCCAGCTAGGAATGTGGCCTCGGCATCGTTTTAATGAGATGAGTTGTCAGTGCACAGTCTCAAGCTCTGTGGATTGAGAGAATGGAGAGAATGCACGGTGACGAGGTGCTGACAGAGTCGACTCTAAGCCGAGCCAACAGGCAGGCGGCTGATGTGTTTTGTTGTTGTTTCCTTTGAGTGCTGCCTTGCTGAGCCTTGCTGGTATGACCAACGCCCTCTAAGTTTGGCTGTTCGGCTGTGGGCAGGTGTGGCCTCAGAATGCATATATGATTCTTAAACTGGCACACAGGCAACAAGTCCTGCGTTGTTCTTTGAACACAGTTTTCGTTTGGCAGCGGTTGTTGGAAATGTACATGTTGAGTTTGCAGGTGCAGACAGCCGAGCAAGGCAGGGCAGATGAGCATGACGCAGTATGAATGGAGTTGTTTGTTGCTTCTCAAGCCGAATCCATACTTACCATCATTTAATATCAGGAGCATGTAGCTGTCCGTGCCGGTACATAGTTTGAAATTGTAGTTGTCATCAATTGAATGGTATTTGCTAGGCCTCGGCCATTATTGCATTGAGTTGCAAAGACAAACTCAGATCGCCACGAATCCCAAGCTAGCTCATTCGGCCTCAACGTTGAGACATGAAATTGGTGGTCAGTACCACATGACAATAAACCCCGCAAAACAGCTGCATCGCCAAGATTCTCAAGATGGTGTCGTTGCAGGCAGTTTTGAGCTCGGTGCCTTGAACGAATGCACGGTGACGAGGTGACAGAGTCGACTCAGAGCCGACCCAACAGGCTGGGGGCAGCTGATCTTGTTTGCGATTCCTTGCGCTGTGCGAGCCTTTCTGTTAAAGTTGGACCTACTTTAATTGCCAGAGCCCTGCACAGAGGGTTGGACTTTGGCTTACAAGTGTCAGACTTAGTATTGCTACATTTAGTATTGCCAAGACTACATCTCAGATTCTAGGACTTAGTTGAGTATTGCCAATGCTAAATTTAGTCTTGCCAAGACTTAATCTCAGATTCTTAGTACATAATCTTATATTGCCAACACTTAACTATGTTTTAAGAGTTAGTATTGGCATTTCTTAGTTTAGTATTCACCGCAATCTCGGAATCCCAGAGTTTTTTAATTGTGGAATATTGTGGATTGCCTTTAGCCTTTGAGCTGGGAAGGGCTTACATGAACCACCCTTTGAACCAAGTAAAGGCTAAGCTTTGATTGCGGAATCTCCCCGTCCGCAAAACAAACTTGCCAGTACAGATGACCTCAAAAGAGTTAGATTCAAGAGGATCAGGGGCTAATTTACCCCTCACCCAAAACAAGCTTTGCCATTAAAGAGGGCCCCAAAACAGTCAGATTTTGTGGATCTGACAGTTTGGCCCTCTTTTTGTTGTCTTTGGTTTAAAAGCAAGGATTCCTGGGCCACTTTATAAGCAGGAATTCCTAGATCTAAGGCCTTTCGCCTATGAGCTAGGAAGGGCTTAGGTAAACCACCCTTTAGTAAACCACCCTTCAAACTTGAAAGGCAAAGCGAAGGTTTGTTTTGCCCAGACGTTCTCTCGGGAAAGGCACGCAAACACCGGGGCCCCGGTGTTCTTCTTTGGCAGGTGCAGACAGCAGCCGAGGAAGGCAGGGCAGAGATCAGCGTGGTGTAGTGCGGCCAGATCTTTGCTACTCAAATTGATTCCACGCTTGATACACCTGGATCCGGTGAGCATGTGGCCCATGTTGGTGTCGTTCGCGTAATATGAATTGTGTTGGTCAGAGGAGAATTCACGTTAGGACTTCAACCCTTGCTGCATTGAGTCGCAACCATAGGCTGGCATCACACGAATCGCCAGCTAGGAATGTGGCCTCGGCATCGTTTTAATGAGATGAGTTGTCAGTGCACAGTCTCAAGCTCTGTGGATTGAGAGAATGGAGAGAATGCACGGTGACGAGGTGCTGACAGAGTCGACTCAGAGCCAAGCCAACAGGCTGGGGGCCAATGAACGGCTGTGGGCAAGTGTGGCCTGAGAATGCAGAATGTTTCAGCTGCCACGCAAGCAACATGTCCAGTGTTTGTTGTTTAAAAACACTTTCATTTTTTTCAGCAGCGGTTCATTTTGAGTTTTGTAGGTGCAGACAGCAGCCGAGGAAGGCAGGGCAGAGATCAGCGTGGTGTAGTGCGGCCAGATCTTTGCTACTCAGATTGATTCCACGCTTGATACACTTGGATCCGGTGAGCATGTGGGCCATGTTGGTGTCGTTCGCGTAATATGAATTGTGTTGGTCAGAGGATAATTCACGTTAGGACTTCAACCCTTGCTGCATTGAGTCGCAACCATAGGCTGGCATCACAGGAATCGCCAGCTAGGAATGTGGCCTCGGCATCGTTTTAATGAGATGAGTTGTCAGTGCACAGTCTCAATCCTCCTCATCCCCTTATCCCCTTACCCCCTCATCTGCGCATCCTTGCATCCCCTTATTGCCTGACTGGGTACGTGTCAAACTCGGGATTTGGACGGAAGCCAACTCCAAAGACACAAATCATAGGATCCCAATCCCCCCCCTTTAACATCCCGGAACCCCTGGCTTCCTCAAAACAATCACACACGCACACTCTCACGCACACTCTCACGCACACGCCCACACACATGGTTAAATCCCAAGGTAGTCGAACGACCCAATTCGAGTAGAAAATCAAACACATTTCGAGTTGGTTTGCTTGACTGGGTTCGAACACACATATATATATATATATATATGGGAGTCGTTCTAAATTGCATTGCAGCAGGGTTGGAAGTGGTGGTTGGCGTACGGTCAACTCTTAATCAGACTAGACCAATATCTATGTACATAATGTTTAATGTAGTGTTAAATATGTGCATATATAAATATGCGTGTACGTATATATATATATATACAGACATCCGCTTCACTTCACTGGGCTTGACATACGAAAAAGGCGCCTGGTTGTCCTTCTCCTGCGCGGTGAAGGAGCCGCGCATCGCCCAGGAGCACTGCTCCTGAAATCGAAGTCAGCAGTTCGACAAGTTGAAACGAGCTTAAGTCGATACAGCGTGTTCCTTTTAAGGGACATCTGTTTCTGATGATTCCCACCCATTGTTTTAGTGGACCAGAATAGAGTCCGTTTTTCCCCAAGTGACTTCTCTTGAAAAAATGACTAAACATCAACTTAGAAATTCGAAATCAAAGAAAAGGCTTGCCCGTAGGGGGAGGCGATCAATTGATACCAGGGTCTTGTTACAACGCTGGCACCCTGTCCTCCAACTTCAAGGCGCCCTTGGCCACGCGGAAGTAGCCCATCCCACCCCAGAACTCACCCCAGGAGTTGCGCACGATCCAGTACCTCACACGCGTGTGCGCAGGCGCACATCTGGTGTCGGGTTTAGGGGTCCGAGCTCTGTGGATTGAGAGAATGGAGAGAATGCACGGTGACGAGGTGCTGACAGAGTCGACTCAGAGCCAAGCCAACAGGCTGGGGGCCAATGAACGGCTGTGGGCAAGTGTGGCCTGAGAATGCAGAATGTTTCAGCTGCCACGCAAGCAACATGTCCAGTGTTTGTTGTTTAAAAACACTTTCACTTTGTTTCAGCAGCGGTTCATGTTGAGTTTTGTAGGTGCAGACAGCAGCCGAGGAAGGCAGGGCAGAGATCAGCGTGGTGTAGTGCGGCCAGAGCTTTTGTACTCCTCAAATAGAGCCCTCGCTTTATGCACTTGGATCCGGTGAGCATGTGGTTGCCTATGTTGGTGTTGTTCGCGTAAATTTAGTTTGTCAATAGGATGAATTGCATTACAACTAAGTGCTCGTTGCATTGAGTCACAGAGCTAGGCTAAGATAGCGAGAATCGTCAGCCATGTGCCTGAAGGCACTGTTTGATCTCACAAGTGGTCACCAAAGCAGTATCTTTGCCACGCTTGGGTAGATTCTGTTGGAAGCAGCTGGTTTCGCCCAGTTCCCTTTCATGCCAGTCACCTACAGAAAACGGACCATCAGGATTGGCCACATTGACTTGAGCTTTATCCCTCCAGTTCTTGGAGTTATAGTGCCACTGTGGTAGGTAACCGTTCGGTATGTTTGCCTAGAGGTTTTACCATGGATGGCTTCCCCTTACTACAACTCACCTCTCCACAACCGAACGCGTTTGACCTTTTGGTTTTCCACTAGTGTGTCATGTTTAGTCTGTTTAGTCATCCAAGAGCGTGATCTCTGCAACGATCGTTTGAGTTGAGCGAGGGAACGGGTTGTCGCCAATTGGCACAAATGATCTTCGCTTGACCCACTGCGAGCCACTGTGACCCTCAGATAAGCAGGGGATAGTTGGAGCCAACAAAAACTGTTGAGATATACCCTCCCACCAATGAACATGGAACCTGAAGTTCGGGTCCTGGTCCGAACGTCAGGTTCCATGTTAATCGGGTGGGTATGCCACATGGGCTTGTTGGTCCAAACCACGACTGCGTTGGTTTTTTTGGGGGGGAGAAGCCTTATATCTGTGGAAAGGCTACAAATTATTTTAGGTTCCTTCGAGGGTGTTTTTTTTTTTTTTTTTATAACACATGCGGTTGCACGAGATCTGAAGAGTTGCCTGCGCGCGCAGGTGCCGATCCTCGTCACAAACCAGTGGGGCGCTCGAGGGAGATGTGGGTGAGACTGTCACTCCTCACAGTGGTCATAACTGCTTGGAGTAGATCCTAGGTCCCCCAGCTTGGTGCCCTTTTGAACCCAACTTTTTTGGTTGGGAGGGCTCCCCTGCTAAAATAGACTTCAGAAAAAAAGGGTACCCTTAGTCGAACCTCTCTACTGGAGGACCTAGGATCCCTTATTATCCACGGTTGTAGCCTACTAAACCCCCTAGTTTCTGGACTTGATAGTTTTGGGCAAGAACGGAATAGAACCAGAGGACTCATTTTGCTGTCGCCATTCCAGTCAGAAATTCAGAATGCGATAAATTCAGAATTGCTCCTTCCCAGCCCCCCCCCCCCATGGTTCGAAAGGAACCCTTCTTGGGTCCTTGGGTCCTGAACTGGGGCGGGGGGGTCGGAGTCCTAGGCCGTTTTTGGGGGAATGCAGGGTTTCAAGATGCATCTGCGCTGCCTTGTTTTTTTCTCCCACCCGACAGGAAGGGGTTGTTAGATTTTATGTTGGAACCCGCGTTTGCGATGCTTCTACACCACGCCCCCCACCCAGTATCCCGCCAGAGCAGCTCACCAGAGCTCCCGCTTGAAGCGTCCCAAAAACGTCTCTCGAAAAGCATGTTCTGAAATAGTTGGCCCGCGTGGTTAGCATAGCCAGAGCTCCCGCTTAAAGCGTCCCAAAACGACGTTGGGTTTCTCGGCGGGATCCGAGCCGCTCTGGCGGGATACTCGGCGGGATCCACTGGCGAGCCGCTCTGGCGGGATACTCGGCGGGATCCACTGGCGAGCCGCTCTGGCGGGATACTCGGCGGGATCCGCTGGCGAGCCGCTCTAGCGGGATACTCGGCGGGATCCACTGGCAGAGTAGCTCGCCAGTCTGGTTTTGCTTCATGTCCCGCCCGGCGCACAGTTGGGTTTACATTTCATGTTTAAACCTTCATGCTTTGAGTGTACCCTGGAGCTGAAAGGGTGATGCTCTTGTGTTGCTTTGGGTTGTGAATAGGCAACTTTGTTTAATCCCCCGTCGGGTTTCTTTTTGGGAGGGGCTTGGCTTTTGTTAACGGAACCGATGTTTGAGTTCTCGAGATGGGCTCGCAGACAATTGGAGTTTGACACACAGACAGTTGGATAAGGCTCTCAATGCAAAGCTTGTTATCAGTCATAGGCCCCAAGTCACTCGAAAACCATGCTTGAGTTCACACAACCGTGTTCACAGTCGTAAGCTCGTGAGTGTGGAGGGTGGGAATTGCTCGAAGCGAAGTAATTTTGTTAATCCCCGGTTTATGTGTCGGTTTGCCAAGAGGTGCCGTTTGCATGAAAGCGATCCTTAGTGATGGAAGACACGCATATGCGGGAAACGTAGTTCTTCCTCCACAAGGCCATGTCTTGAGAACAAAAACTACCCATGCCTTGCCAAGACAGGGCCCAATGCTGCTTAGGCTGTGCTTCGTCAATGTGGGTGTGCTTTGTTCCGAGGATACCTTTTGCGGCTTGCTTTAACGGCAAAAATTTTCACAGAATAGTTCCACAGGAACTTCTACAGGAAATTGGATTTGTTTAAACTGGGCTTATCCAGGGCGTATCCAAGGCTTATCCAAGGCCTTGTCCAGGAACGGGGGATCTTTCTGTACCAGGGGGCAAATCTCCAGGAAGTTGAATTGGGCTTATTTTAGCCTAAAAAAGGCTTAAATGCCCCTTAAACATGCTTGAATCCCCCTTAAAACGGCTTAGGCCAGACTCCCAAAACCTTCCCAATTTAACTTCCTGGACAATATCCTGGATACGTTTTCTTTGAAAAAACCACCCAAATGGCACTTCTTGAGAGGTCCGTTTCCTCTTTGGGACCCGTGGCTTTGGGGCTCCTGTTTTTGGTTTCAGGTGCAGCGAAGCAGCCGGCCGAAGACAGCTGTTGCACTTTGTGACCGCGCACTTTGCGATTTTCCCCGTTTGGTTGTATGGCATATGTCTAGGGGTTGATTCCCAATTCTTTTCAGCCAGCGTTGTTTTCAAGTACCGGCTGTTTTGGGTTCTAGGTTTTTGATGGTTCTCTGAAGAAAAGGATCCCTGGAAAGAATAGGGAAGGTACCCCTAGACTATGTTAGATCAATTCTCTCAAAGTGTGATGATTCAACAGGGCAATCATTGGAACTGTGTGTGAGGGGTGTGCCAAACTCAGGGGTGGGAGGTTTTGAGATGAGGGACCCACGTTTGTGGATGGTTCTTTGAAAGTAGACAGGGTTGCGGAGCTGTTCAGTAGTACCCTTTCAGCCCTTTGCTTGGGTGGGAAACCCCAAGCACGTTTTAAGAGGCTTCCATTTTTTGTCTAGGACGGGTCCCCCGATGTTCTCGGACTCCACGTGAACCTTGGGCATCCCCGGCGCGAATCCGCCCAGCCAGGTGCCGATTTGTGGTGAGGCAGAAGGGCCAGTTGGCCGAAAGTAGGGCATGAGGATCCCTTGGCAGATTTGGGTCAACTCATCATCCAGGTACTAGCAGCATCCCTTGACAGATTTGGGTCAACTAGCTGATTTAGAGGTTTCCCTGGATGTATCCTTTCAGAAACCGAATGACCCACAGGAGTTTTGACCATGGCACATATGGCCAAACGTACCCTGCCAGCCTGGCTTACTTCGTTTGAAGGCGTCCGCATCCCCGAAGGCTGTAGACAATTTCAGCGCAGGCACTTCAACGGGGCAGTTTGCAGCCAATCCTAGACTTGCAGATTTTCTGGGGTCTTCTTCAAAGTTGCTTCACATTGTAGGGTAGATGTTATGGGGTCTTCCAATATGCTTCATATTGTAGGGTCGATCATGTATTTAAAAAAAATGAATGACTTTGAGTTGGGGAATGTTTGAGGTTTGCGGCATCATCAAGCCACGATGCATTTTCTTTAAGGCTCGGGGGGTATCAATGGGAAAATTGGGAGGATACATACATATATGCAATTGGCAATATATTGGGGCACTTACAGTAAAATGGGGGGACATAAATTACTCCTAAAGGGTGATTGTTGATTGGTGTGGCCCCGGGCCTTTGGTGGACTCTACAGGTCCAAGGGAAAAGCAATGCAAACCGACCTGATCTTCGGCGCGTAAAGGGTATACGTACTGAAGGGAAGGATGTGCAATGGCATAGATTGGTTTTAGAATGGCTAATTTCAGGGAAGCGGCTGAGGGCCAAGCACAACCGAAGGAGCCATTTTTCATTTCAGCAAGACAACTGCGCATTACAGGTTGCTCTTACCAAGAAGATTGGGTTTTTGGGTTATGATTCGCCTCGGCGGTTCCCTATCATAAGCTTAGATTTGTTTGTGTCTGGAGAACGTAGCCGCCTACTAAAAGTCTAATTTTCAAGAAATATCACCGAACCACGAGGGTATGTGTCAAAGTAGGGAGACCGCACAAGTTGTTGTTGTTCACTTGGTTTGCCTTGATTCCAACCAGAGAGTAGCCTCAAAACTACACAGCCACCAAGAACCCACTAAGACAAGGTTTCTTTTGTGTGGCGATGCGGACATGTGCTGAGACTCTTGAGACGCATTGCCTTGCCCAAAGTTGACCTGAAATGGGTGCTGGTCAAAACAGGGCACCACTTCAAGTTGGCTTGTTCCCTTTTGGATCAGGTCTTCTGGGCAATTGAGTTGTACATATGGAATGCGCGCTCCCGACTTGTTCCTTCACGGACACGTCCTACCATGACCCTTCTTTGCTAAGGAGCAAGTCCGGCGCAAAGCTCCGAGCTCTAGGCTACGATCGATTACCTGCAAGTCACGTTTCCGAAGTTGCAAGATCGTTCAACTCATTGATTATGTCCTGGTTGCAAAAACCGTTGGTGTGTGTGTGTGTGCGTGAGTGTCACTTTGCGTGTTTTGCATTGACTTATCTAAGCCAGTATTTTTCCCTTCCGGCTTCTGTTCAATACAAGTCTGATGTGTGTGCATGTCGTTTGAATACGGGGATGTATCAAAACTAGGACCGCGCAAAAGGTGTGTTTTCTTTTGCCTTCCATTAAATCAGGTGACCATTAGTTGGTGGCTTCGACTGGTGGTTTGGGGATTTGAAAATAGATGCGAAACCCTCCTTAGCCATCAAATCACCAATCCAAACCACCAATCAGGGGGAAGCTGATTAAAACCAACCGATACCCTCCAAACCGCAGATCCAAGTTAGAATCGATCACATCCGATGGGATGGCCGATTCGATCGGCCGCTGGAAAAAAAGCCATGGCGCAGCTTGTTTTTTTTTTGCGCAGCTCAAGTTGGAGAATGGCTTACTCCCTGCGGTCCATTGAGAATTTCTTCCCTGGAATGACCATTTGAGTCACGTGCTCAAAACGATTCCGGGCAATTGAAGGTTAGTTTCTGGGCACTCCCAGCCATAAATGGGTGCGGATATCCGCCTTCTGAATTCTTTACATGGTTGCGGGTAGGCCATGTTAGTACCGGGTTTTGATTGCGACTCATTTGCTTTGTTGTAAACAAACAGCTCGGAGTTTTGTCTGGCCCATCCGCTCAAGTAAGTGAGATGGTATACTGACCACGGTGTCTGTCAATCCACCCTTGTACGTGTATGTGAGGTTGGCAAGGATGGTCATGGATCCGTATGCAGCCTGTCGAATGTTGACAACCATGAGATGGATTCCACTAACCATTATTATGGCCCACATAAGGAGTTTAGACCATGGCAGAGCCAATTAGCTAGCAAAGTATTCTATTCGCATTGTAGAGTGAGACTCAGATCAGCCCATGTAGAGCAACAGGATTTGTAGGCTGCATGTTTCTTTTCGAGTAGTTATCTTTGAAGCCTTGAGTTGCACAAGTGCGCGCCCTAGGGATCTGCATAAGTTAAATGAACCAGGGACATTGACGCCGATCCCGCCGTTGTAGAGGGGAAAAGGCGCATGAGCTCCCTAAACTAAGGATAGATTCCATGACAGGGTTGTTGCTCAAATCAGATATGGGCAATTGAACTACCATAATTCTCAAAATATAAAAGGGAAAGCCCCAGCAAAGGACCTTCGTCATGTGCGAGCTTGTTGAATCCAGCTTGAAAAGGGTCCGCACTCAGCACGTGAGAAGGGACGCCAACAGGGTGTGGGTCGACCCGAACAGTGGAGCCTTGAGTGATGAGGGCCTGAACTTTGAGACGAGTCACGGTGTGAATCGCATCCCAACCAAGATCAATCCAACAGTCTGAAAGAGTGAACCACGGCTTCACAGACAACTACTCGAAAAGAAACATGCAGCCTGCAAATCCTGTTGCTGTAGATGGGCTGATTCGAGTCTCACTCTACATTGCGAATAGACGCCTAGGACTAAATAGATTGATTAATTGACCTTGAACTTCTTCTTGTCGGGGCTCTGCCTTTAGCCAGAAAAATAATAATTATTGTCCTCATATCGCTGCCCAAAGGATGCGGGCGGATTCTTGTCCCGGCCTTCCATTTTCCTTCCGTCGCTCACACTGGCCCCCGACAAACGACGGCACACACACACACAGACACGCCCTGCAACGACACAGACACGCCCTGCAACTGTTCCGGGCTTGTTCAAGACTTAAATGGAACCTCTTCATTCAGTGGCACCCCGTTTTTGGCTTAGGTCGGTGCTTTCCGTTTTGAACAACAAAATGCCCAAAGGGGCAAGGGGCGCGAATAGTGTTGTTCGTTCCCTGCGGGAAGTAGGCAAGTAATACGAGGGGCTAACCATCCTTTGTCTTTCTCCTGTCTCACATTTGTTGAACGCGAGGGAAAAGGGAATGAGGGAATGACCCTCATGAACCATCCCTTGTGGTTCCTTTAAGGGGACCAATTCCTGGGTTCATTCCCTCATTCCCCGCTGGCCCTGCTGAGCACCAGCGACATACTGTGGATGGACGAAATCCTGCACCACTTAAGAAACCCTGGAGTGATGATTCCCCATGTAGATGCCAACGAACAGTGGCTTTTCATGGTTTCTTAGGCGGTGCAGGATTTTGTTCATCCACAGTAGCCCACCCCAAAGTACGGAACACATGCCGGAGTCTGGATTCTGCTGAGCCCCAGGAGCTGTTGAAGATCTTGGCTCAGGCATCGAAGCCTGTCACCATCAGGCGCGGCTCATTTCAGCCGAGGTTGCGCCCTGCGCCCGTTGTTCTTCTTTTTGAGGGGTCTCTTCAAAATCGACTACCGAAAAACGGCGCCCATTCTTTTTCCCCGTGGCTGCTGGGCGTTTGGGAGTCTATGATAAACTTGCGAGAAGTGAGGGACACGCCAAAGTTCCCGCAAAACACTAGAGGAGCTCTAAATGTCCCATGCCCTCTTGTGGGGAAACGCGTGGTTTTACCTCTGCCGGAAGCAGCTTTAGTCCTGGTCCACCCAGACCTCCGGTGCCTATGTTCTTTTTAGAGAGTCCCGAAAAGAGGGTGCCCTTATTCGCTTGTTTTTCTTGCACTGGAGGTTTGGTCACGTCCCCAGTCAGAATTGTGCAACCTTCATAGTTGAGGCTATTTGCCAACCTATTAGGGTTGGGATCTTGAATTCCCACGCCACGTCGCCCCAAATCCCAAATCGGAATAAGGTGGTGTTGGCTTTTCTTTTTGGGGCAATTTGGGCATGTCACTCTTCTTGTGAGGGTAGTGGTGTATGGGGATTTTCGGGGCTCCCCTATTGTTGAGACAAACCCGATTTGGGGCTGGGGTTGGCAGAAATGTGGAACGAGAATTGCACTTGCCCGTTGCTTTGGATATTGTGCGAAGGGTGGCAGGGGTGGGTTGTTCAGATCGCCCTGATACGGGTTCGTCTCAAAATTGGGAAGCTCTTACGACAGGTGGTTTGCCTTCAATTTTCCTCTAAGCCAACCCCGACAAGGGCACTATAAGTCCCACTTTGGTGATTCAACACATCTCCTGTTTGGTCCATCTCGATAAAGCTTCCTTGGTGTGAGAGTCAAAGGGCCACAGAAGGAATTATGATTTGGTAAGAACCTGGGCGTAGCTCACAGGTTCCAGTCAGTAAACCATGGTTATTGTTGGGACACTTTTGTTACATTTTTGCTTATTGTGGTTTAGTGGGAAACCCCCACTGAACTGCTGTTTTTTTTTTGTTGCTCTTCCAACGTCAACCAAGAAACATTGAAGACCCTTTTGGTCTACTATCCTCAGAAGCCTCAGAAGCATCCAACGACAGGAATCATGCCCTTTCTTCGGGGGCGCATTTGTTCTTCGTGGTTGAACAGCCCTCCACCCCCTCGAACACGGGCTTTGTAGAGGAACCGAACACCGGTCCCCCCCCTTTCTCACCCCTTTTTTGGTTGGGAGGGGAAACCCCTACTAAAATAGACTGCAGAAAAAGGGGTACCCTTAGTCTAACCTCCCTACTGGAGGACCTAGGAACACCGGTTTTGAGGGGAAGCAGGCGATTTTGTGTGTGTGTGAATGCTGTGCACAGAGCGGGTGCTTCCTTACCCTAGGTGAAACTAAATCCAGGCAGCCGCGAC